TGACACGGGCTGTGCTAGCTGCCCCAGTGGAGAGCTGTCACTTGCAGGCCTCACTTCTGACTCCTCCAGTCCCTGGCAGAGCTAACCAGGATGTCTCAGCTGGCTCAGACTGCTCTTAAAGCTGTCTGGAGGTTTATACAGTCCGTGGTTATTGCATGTGTGTGGAAATTCCAACCCTACATCAACAGGAGTAATGAATAAAGACCTTGTCTAAAGGAGCTGTTGACAAGGTGGTGATTGGGCACAGGTTGGAATCTTGTCCAACCTTAATGATTCAGTAACCTTTAAAAACCCTGTTTCTGCTCAGTGTCCTTCCAGCTGAACCCGAACTACTCGTGCCAAAACCAACAGCACCCCATTTCTGCTCAGTGTCCTTCCAGCTGAACCCGAACTACTCTCGCCAAAACCAACAGCGGCGTGGTGAGGATTGGAGTCCAGGCTCTCCATGGCGTGGTGAGGATTGGAGTCCAGGCTCTCCATGGAGGTTCCTCGGGCAGCACTGTGCCCTCAGGGAGTGCCAGCCCCACGCTGCCCGGGCGCGGCGCAGCGGAAGCTCAGGTTGGAGGAGGAGCTGTCCGGGGTGTTCTGGCTCCGAGCCGCACAGCGGTACCGGTAGCAGTAAGACTGCAGGGCAAGAGGACACAAAGTCAACTTGAGCTGCTGCTTCCCCTGCCGAGAGCTGGGGAGAGCATTAGTTAGATGAACACAGCACGTTCCATCACTGGGATAACAATGAACTGACAGGGATGGAAATCACTGCATTGGAAATCATCCTACAGAGACCAGCTGGAATGGCAAAGTGTCCAACCACGTGTCATCCGACACTGTAACCTGCTCTGGGAAAGAGCTACAAGAGCCACTCTGCTTCCCTCTCCCTGCATCTCTGTGCTCTGAGCTGTCTGTCAGGGCACCAACACCCGACTGGGAACATTGCCCTGCACAACAGGGTAACTGGGGACCAGCTCCTGCAGTTTCCCTGGGCCAGCATTCCGGGATATTTATGATCCCTGGGAGAATTTCATCACAGTCTCTGGCTGGCTACCTTGAGGCTGCCCAGCAGCAGTTCCCCAGCATGGCATGGAAGGACAGCCACACTGGTAATTGCACTAATTAAGCACTGGGGTCACAACACTCCATCCAAATCCTGCCCCGTTTTTCTGCTGCTGTAGAAGATCTGGCTCAGGCTCTGTCCCTGTTTTCCTGCACAGTCTCTGCCCAGAGCACACTTGACTGGTGCAGCAGCTGAGTGTGGTCAGGCCCTGCACCCCTGCACCAGCTGCTGCAATGTAAGAAGGTGCAACTTCAGCCTCTGACAGCTCTGGGAGGGAGAAGAGCAACAGCACAGAGAGATCAGTCTGACTAGATTTCAGCACCTAATAAAGAGCCCTTGTACTCACTCACTCAGAGGCTTTTTTGTCTCGATCCACAGCCTAGTTTTATCACCTACAAAAGACACTAGGGCAGACCAGAATCTTCACAAACCTCAGAAATGGGTCACGTTACTCATCACTGAAGAGCCTATTCCAGTGTTAATTCAATCAAAACTGCTAATTAGCATCTGACATTGATTTCACCTAAGAAGGAAATGGGTGTAGAAAATGGGATCTGACTGCAGAGAGTGCAATGCCATGCCAGGCTGGCTGGCCAGCTGCAGGCTCCACAAGGCAGGGAGGGCAGCTGGGATCAAACAGCAGAGAGAGTGAGGCTCTTCTGGCCCTGCATGAGCAGAGTCCAACACATGACTAGAGTCACTTCAGCCTCTGCTCTGGGGTGGCATCCAGGAAGGATTTTCAAGTGTGCATCAGCTCAGCTGGAACATTCATCTCCCAACCAGCCTCCTGCAAACACCTGACATCAGAGTCACAGATTCTGGGCTGAAGGGACCTTAAAGCTCATCTCATTCCACCCCTGCCAAGGGCAGGGACACCTTGCCCTAGCACAGGTGGCACAGAATTCCATATCCTTTCTGGATCAAGACACATTCTAAAACTGAAAACCCAGAGTCACCTCCATACTTTCTACTCTGACAAGTACTTCTCAAGCTCTGCAGTGCAAACAGCATTAGAATCCTACATAATTTTTAATTCCTGCATCTAAACACCTTATTGGCTGAAACAACTTAGTTGTTTACATCCTAAGCTGCCCAAGAAGTCCTTAGGAACAGCAGGTGTTGCCCATCCTTGAATTCCATGAAACCCCTTAACAAGCATTCAGGCATCTCTGTCAGAGGCTCATTTCATGGTCAAGTGCTGTCAGAGGAAAGAAAAGCAGGAAAATGGCACATTACCTTATGGCACATGTAGGATCCTCCTTTCTTCACTCTGTCTGTGCCCGAGGTTGGTCCTTGCTGGGGAGAGAGGGACAGTGCTCAGGGCAGGGGAAACAGAGGGATAACCTCCACTGGCTTAGTTTGAGGAAGGAATCTCTCCCTGTGAGGTGCTGAGGCTCTGGCACAGGGTGCCCAGAGCAGCTGTGGCTGCTCCATCCCTGGAGTGTTGCAGGCCAGGCTGGATGGGGCTGGAGCAGCCTGGGCTGGTGGGAGGTGTCCCTGCCCAGGGCAGGGGTGGCACTGGGTGAGTTTTGAGGTGCCAACCCAAACCATTCCATGACTGTGATGCTGTGATTGCAGTGTGGCACCTTCACTGCAATGACTTATTTAAGTGAGACTTGTGTGTTCATAATCTCAGTGCATACTGTGCTTCAGTGCTGGATTAAGGGGATGGTCAGGCGTGTGACTTCTGCACTCTGTTCAGCTAAAGCAGCTCTAAAGAGTTTGTCTAGGTTTTAAATTCAGCACAGACACCCTGCAGACACTTCAGGAACTATCTAAAAACTAGGTGCTAACAAGGATTTCAGTTTTTTTTTTCAGATGGCAACTCATTGTCAGAATCTCTGGTCGGAGGCAGAGCACTTCAAAGTGAATTCCAAAGGGTTTTCTGATTAACTGGGTAAGGAAACTGCATCTCCTAATGTGCAGAGGTGTCCCAAAATAGCCAGGCTGCAGTTATCTTCTGAGACATGGACACTGATTAGCAGCAGCTCTCTGAGCCATCCCCTCGGTCTCTGCAGAGCACCAGGCACTGCAACCTATATATAGGATCTGTTCTCTCTGCTGGAAAGACTCAAAATTCTTCCAGAGGGTCAGAGCTTAGGCAAAGTCTTGTAACACAGTTAGTTCAGTATCCAAAAATCTTCAGCTTTCTAGTGCTGGAGAGATTTGGGGTACACCTGGGGTGGTTACAGGCAGTGAAGGGAATTCTGCACTCAGGTTGTGTTTTGTGATTGTATTGGATTCACCATTAATTGCTAAGGAGAAGTGACTGGGACACCTGACAGTGCTGTGGAAGTTGTAAGCAAGTAAACAAGGTGTGTTTGGTGGGGTCTGAGTCACAGGTTGTTCCTTGGGCATGTAGGGAGTGGTCCCTTGACTTCAGGAGGGCTTGTCACTCTCCCAGCAAAGGTGGGAGGCAGCCAAGCCATTCCCACAGTGCAGCACGGACATCTCAGATCAGGAAACCAGAACAGAAACCATGACAAGGTTTGCTAGTTTGCTTGTGCAGCACGGACATCTCAGATCAGGAAGCCAGAACAGAAACCACGACAAGGTTTGCTAGTTTGCTCGTTCCTCTCTCCCACCTCAGAGCTCACTGTGTCAACTGCTCAGCTCAGTCAGCTGCTTCAGCCCACACACCTCACTGAGCTGCCAGAGGCCATGAGGGTAGCTCATGATGCTTTGGTCCCTCCTTGGTGAGGGGAAGAAGTAGTACAGCTTGTGGCAACGTGAATGAACAAAACCCCTTCCTTTTTTAGACAGGCAATTCCATAAAGTCTTGGCTTAAGCAATATGATGCCAGGTTGGAAGTACTGAACTGCTAACCAGGTGTGGACAAACAACAAACCAACCAAACGAGTTGCAGCACAGCACTGGAATTGCAGTGTGGATGAGCTGTGCTGTGATAGTTCCCAATTCCCAAGGACACAGCCCAGTCCCACCCCAGAGGGAATTCTGTACTTGAGGTGAGGGCAGTGAAACACTCACAGGGTTGTCAAGCTGCTCTGAGGAGTGATGGACAGCCCACCAGTCAGAGGTCCATTCCCAGGCATTGCCCACCATGTTGTGCAGCCCATATCCATTGGGGGGGAAGGCAGTGACCTGCACAGGACAGAACACAGGGGCAAGCTCTGTACCCACTCCTCAAGAATAGGGCTCTAACCCTCTGTACCCACTCCTCAAGAATAGGGCCTGAGCCAGCAAACCCAGAGCCTGCAAACCAGACACCAGATCAGTAGTGCTATCACCCTGTCTGTGCTCAGCATCACTTTCCACTAGCTCACACAGCATCCTGTCACTGACCCTCTCTGTTGCACCAGACCTGACCCTTAGACCCTCCAGACTCCTCACCACGGCCAACAAGGTTGCTG